CTGATATCTTTGAATACTACTGAATCTATATGATGTCAAAAAGAGAGATAAAAGAATAATGCTGATCTCATGATGATTTGCTGTGATTGCTGTCATTTCTCTATTTTTTCTTGGAATATTGAATTCTCTGTTATTGTTGCTGGATTATAGTAGTTGATTTTTACTCTTGTGATGACAAAAAGGGGGAGAAATGGATGCAATGTGTAAGGGGGAGTTATTCTGAGATTATGAGTTTGGCTCTTAAAAGTTTTGGTTGCAATGATTGAGGGAGAGCTTATACTTATTTTTGTTTCTTTCCATCCATTGTTTTGTTATCATAAAAAAGGGGGAGATTGTTGATCTTGATCCCTATCTTTTGATGTTTACAAAACAAATGGATGATACTAATATTTCTTCAAGATATATTTTCAATTATGAAGTTATTTGATTCCATGATCAAGTACAATTGAAAGATGACAAAGTATGCTGAAGCTGTCGGACGCTCAAGAAGTCAGGATCGGACGTCCGATAATCATTGCACAACTTCGGACGCATGTTTCGGACGTCCAATAGGATCCTTCGAAGTCGACGAATCTATCGGACGCTAAATATGTCTCTACCGGACGTCCGATAGAAACAAAATAATTTCTCAAATCTCTTTGTTTGCTGTCGGACGCACAAAAAGCTTGCATCGGACGTCCGATAGAATTGAAGAAAATTTTTCAAACTCACTGCCTGCTGTCGGACGCAAGCATCGGACGTCCGACAGTATCGGACACAAGCATCGGACGTCCGATACTCCAACGGCTAGTTGACTCTTCAGCTACTTTCTATCCGTTGGAAGCATTAATAAGACACTTTCTTGGTCCTATATAAATAGTGGATGGTCAGATACTTCAAACAACTTTTGCACACTGAAGATACAAAAGATCTAGAGTGATTTTAGTGAGAAAATACTCATCAAAGAAGATTTGTAGTCTTAGTGGTGTGAGGTTCATTGTAAACTTTTCATTTGTGAGTGAATACTTCATGAGTGTAGCTCTGTGAGAGTTATCCGAGTGATAGTAAAACTTTCTTGCTTGATCAAGTGCGGCTTGGGGCGAGGAGGAAGTGATCCTTCCTTTGTACACAAGAGTGATTGTAATTCATCAACTTGAAGTAGCTTGTTTGAATCAATCTACAAGCTCAAGAGGAGTTGGGTAGTTAATTGGTTTGCAATTCTTTCCCTTTTATTTACTTATTGTTATATTGCGATCTTCTAATTGCTTATCGATTGGTTTTTCGATTGGTTGTCTTCGATCCTTACATCATTTATTTTCCCATTTTTTATAACATGCTAATTCCAATTCAAAAGATATTATTAGAATACTCATTTTGGTAATGAGACAATGGTTTATTTCCAACATTACCCTTTTGTTGCCTTACTATTTTACAAAACTTATAAGTATATTAATGGAAAACTAGAAACAATGACAAAAGGCATAAAAATGTAGTGCTGGGACAAAATATGCATGCTTTTTTAAAGTACAAACATATACTAAAAGCTTGTTTAAGATTTTTTTAAACTACGTAAGTTTTTTTCTTTAGGATTTATCTATTTTGTACTCTAAGGTCACATAAAATCAAGAATGGACTGATGTTATTTTATTGAAATAATTTCAAAAATATCTCTTGAGATTTCTAACAATCTCACTTGCCTCCCTTATTTGAAAATTTTTTTGTACCATGTCAGTCCAAGTAGGAAAAAATTAGAATAAAAAAGCACTTTCAGGAGAGAGAATGGAATTTTGTACCACAAATGCCCTTTGCACTTCTTGGAGTAATTCATTTCAAAAAATTTTATGTTAATTAAAATTGAGAATGCAAAAAAGCAAAAGACTAGAGGTGTTATGAGGGTAAACAACCTAGAGAACCCTTAAACTATTTCAATTATTTTAAATTGGTCCCTCATCTATTTCAAATCTCAAATTGACCCATTTACAATAAAAAGCGTCAAATTTTGATCCTTCATTCCATCTCTGTCGCTAAAGCTGATGGACCTAAGGCTAAAATTGGACTGATCCAACAGTGAAAATAGATTGAAGGATTAAAAATTAACACTCTTTACTGTTGAGGAGCCAATTTGAGAGTTAAAATAGATGAGGACCAATCTCAAACAATTGAGATAGCTATAGGCTTCGTGGGTAGTTTACTCTAAAGTGAAATTGAAGACATTTCTAGAAATTACAGCAGCACTATTAAGATGACTAGAAGCTTTAAAACTAAAGTTTCATGCTAATTTAACATAATAAAAGCACTAGAAATAGAGAATTTGAAAGACAGATTTCTTATGGAGATTCAATAGCTATTTCCCGCAGCTGCTATTCAACAGCTCTTATGGAGATTCAATAACTTTTGATGCTCCCACTACTCCTTGCTTTTCTCTTTTGTCTGTTTTGGATTCGGATGTTTATCTATTAAGGGAGCTGCCATTGTACTCTTAACCCATCAATGAATAATTAAGCCTATCTTTCAAAAAAAAAAAAAAAAGCTATTTCCCGCAGGATTTGAAACGATATAACACCCGTATCAACCATTTTGAGTCAATCTAAATTATCTAATCATTGATTACCAGAAAGGAAACCAACATAGGTTGGAATTAAAAGATCCAATTTGATACATAATAGATAATGCAATCTAGAAGTCAACACCATAACCTACATATCTTAATATTGCAATCCAAGGATGCACAAAACACCATCTTACTCTGGTGCTGCGAGATAGTGAGGATTGCAAAGTTCAATACAGTTCCCACTAACTTTCACAAAGACCATGAGTGGCAGAACATTGGAAGTAAAGCCATAGAGCTCCACTCAACAAAAGGCTACATATGCTAAAACCATAGTGCTCTATGAACCTCAATACCAACCTTTTTTCCCAATAAAAACAGAGTCAAAAACTAGTTTAATCAGAAAAAATGGAAGTGTTTGTGCAATCAATCATCATGTTGTCCTCATTTAGGGATAATTTCAGGAATCTCCCTTTGAGGTTTCTGATAATTACCCATAAATATTCTCCAATATCAAAAATTACGTTGCCCTCCCCTTGATTGACATATTTGATAACAAATTAAGTCCATGTTAGAAAAAGTAATCTTACAAGTAACGAATCGGTCATGTCAAACAATTATATTCTAAGTTTGCCCTCATTAAACCTACAAGAAAATGAGTTAAAATTTTGGGCAAGAAAATTGGCAATAAAAAAATGAAGAAAAATTGGCACCAAGTTGATCCACTTAGGACATGAAAATATCATTAAACAATCAGCATTCTGGATAGTCAAGTCCTACAAGAACCGTTGGAACTTCAACGGTACTTTGTTTGACAATATATAGCAAAAAATGCTAGTGAATGAGCAAAAAATAGAGGCCAATTTCATCAACTGAATACAAAGGCAACTAGAGAAATAATACTTCATCAAACTATCACTAGAGCTCATTTCATGCTGGCACATCATTAAGGATCAAAAACTGAAACTGTGGGTGTGGATGCAAAACAACAATTAAAATTTTCAAAACCCAAAAAAAAAAAAAAAATCCTGACAAGTTATATTTTTGTTGTTCTAAGTATGGCTATTTCAAATAGTTTGACGGCAATGAAGCTAAAGAAGTGAGTAGTTGAAAATGAGAAGATCCAACACAAGTTCAAAAATAAAAAAGCATTGGCAGCAACATAGTGTCACCTACCCAAATACTGATAATGATCAACCTCAGTTTACTAACTATATTCATTTTCATTCAGATTGTAAAGTCCATTTGAAATATGGATAAAATTGTAAGAATGTGTCACCAAAAGTTGAGCCTTGGTCGTTATATAGTGGAAGAACAAAAAGCCACGAAATTGTGGATTTAAATTCATCTACAATATTTAGTAGGAGTTTATCTACCATGCTTCAAAATCAAAGATTTCATATGTACAAAGCATTATAAAATAAATAAATTAAAACAAGTCTTAAATATAATAAAAAATAAGGTCATACACTTCAAGTTGACTGAATACCCATAATAAGCAATTCAAGGTAAAAAAAAAAAAACCATCTCCACAAGGTCATACACTTAATGGCGCCAAATTGCATATAAACAATTATACTTGGAAGACGATTCCCATATTTCTGGTATTTGAGGGATTTTGTAAGGGTATTTTAGTCACTTTATTGTTATTGAAAGTGACATCTAGTTACATCAAAGTGAAAGGGAAGTCAGTGTAATATTTAATATTGAAAGGTATTTATATGTAATCAGAAACGTCCCTTCTCATTTATAAAGAACGTCACAATTAATTTGGTAGTCAATTTAAGAGTCCTCATAGAAACTCTCTTATGACAACTCAAGTCCACGAATACCTATGTGACTTTGTCATTCCTCCAAGAATAAAGAATTAATACAATCAATTTTACTTAACCTTCATGAATTTTGACCTTTCTTTGAAATTTGAACCTAGTCAAGTATAGAGCGCATGAGAGAATTCTTGAACTCGAAAAATCAATGTCCGGATGAATATCATACATGCCATTACAAAATCTGATGTATGAACGCCAACTGAGTAGCCACTTAAAAAATAGTAAGATGAGAATAAGCATGCTACTACTCAGAACTACTACAAAACCCACTAGACACGGTTGAGGACAATCAATATTAACCAAAACCAAAGGGATCCAAATGAGCATTGCTAAAACAGATCAACATCTCAAAAATCTTTGGTGTCAGTTCCCATCCAATATTCAACAATTGCTTAATAAATTCTCAAACATCCAAGAACATGTTCAATGGGAAAATAGCAAGCGTTATCTAGTATCACAATCTGGTGAGTCAAGCCTTAAGTAGCAGGTTAGATGATATTGAACTTTATGAGAACTTCAATGAACATTCTTAACAATTCACTGTTGAACAGAGATATTTGGTCAGTTTATGCAGAAAAACCTTACTTTTGCATTCTTTTGACAAATATTATTTGCTGCACGGGAACAGATAACTAGATCAGATGTTTCAAATGGAAGGCAAAAGGAGAAAATGGATTAGTAATATTAGAAAGAAAATGGAGATATGAAGAGCAATAATGATTCTCTCCGACCAATTCTCACAAGCCTTAAAGACACTATTTTGCAGCTCTAATTCTTTATCATACAACTTATGTAACCATACACGAATATCCTGTGAACTATCATGCTTATGAATTTCATGACTGCAATACTGTCAATGCTGCAATCATGCTGGACACCGAATTCGGCAACGCATGACTTGTTTCCAGGTGCGTCGAATTGTTGATCAATCCTTTTCCAGGACTCAATAATTCAATAACCTTTGCAGCAGCAGCAATCTGTTGTTCTCTAAGGTTTTCATTATGTACGAGTTCTCTGCAATAGAAGTTTCCAGTCATCAAATCCATTTTTAGGTACTTATTTTTAGATCACATACACATCAAATTCATTCATATCCAGGATCTGTACCTCTGTATCCTAAACATGCTTTACTAACCATGTAGGATGTAAAAATAAATCAAATATTAATTAAATAGAAGCTTACCTGACTAATGATGCCAATTTTGAAGGTGTGCATCCTTGGAAAAGAGCTTCGGGTATTGTAGCTGATTTCAAAAGAATATTAGGAAGAGAGATGTAAGGTACTTTAGCTTTGGAGCGTATGACCCATTCAGTCAGGAGATGAGCACGGTAGGCAACAACACATGGTAGTCTTGCAAGCTGTAACTCCACAGCTACTGTTCCAGAAGTGCATAAAGCTACTCTGCTTGCCTGCGTAATTTTGAAAATCGACAAGGTTAGCATCCTCAATCCTGGATGCAGTGATAAATATACAGTCTGATTGGATTAACGAGGATGCAAAGTATGATATCTTTACTGTATTTTGAGGTTATTAACATTTGCAAAAGTTTTGTCAATTCCTGGCTCATATGTTTACATGAAGAAATTCCACATACAAGTTGAAAGCCCATGAGAGGGGTACAGAAAGGTGTCCAACATCAAAAATGAAGTTCATGATAGACTCATCCAATTCTTCTCCATTTAAAAGATTTTTGATGAAATGCTCCACATATTGACTGAACATTCTACTCAAAGAAACTCGGTGGCTTTTTTGGACAAGAAAGGTGCCCTTTTCACGTCAGGAACTAAAATAAACTTAAGTTCACAATTTTATGACTATTGATTAGAACCAGGAAGCTGTTTCAAAGAGTGATATCTATGTTATGCAGAACACAAGGCTTCCAAGTCCATTGTCCTTAAGCTCTAATCTCATAAAGCCCAAGTGTGCTACCATTGGCCAAGCCCAAAAGTATCTAGACATTCAGTTTGGTTTCAAGCTAGATTAGATTAACCACTTAATTACTTGCTTACCAGTTAAGTTCATTACTTGGGAGTCTAGAAAGTCAAATAGTTCATGGTGGAGCTGTTTTGAATCAGTGGCGAACCTCATGTAATATTTGGCATGCTTATCTCATGGTGAAGTAATTACTAATCACCAAATATAACTAATACAATGTAAACACACAAAGAGAAAGACATGGAATTTGCAGTGAGGAAGGAGATATAGTGCAACATTGACCAATGAACCGACAAAACTAAGAAAGAAGTCTGAAATATTTTATTTTTGCCTGTTATAAAATCATCTAGAAAAAGGACCAGACAATGAAGAAGCAAGGATATACCCTCAATGACTAACACCTTCATGATAAGAAAAGGGGATAGAGAAGGCATACGCTAAATGATTTGTACTTCATGCTGGGAGATCCACCTGACACCATTACAACGGGCACAGGCCACTTGCAAACAGCTTTACTGATATAGTCTTTGACATATTGATTGGGTGCGATATGGACCACTGTAACCAACTCCCCAAAGGCATCTTTTAATAGCTCCATAGTGTTTGAGAAAATTGGAAGCATTCGTGTAACTTCCTGAACTCTGCTTCCAGGAAGCAAGCTAATGACGGTGGATCCTTCAAAATTTAAAACAAAAGACAAACTCAAATTGGACAGATTAGGGAAAAATAAAACAAGCTAAACATACAAAGCAAAAATGGATGACTAATCACACTAAATGCATAAGATAGGAATTACAAAAGCAGGTATAGCCAACTCTTTTTTCTTTGCAACAATCTTCTATCTTCAAGTTAATCCAAGTTTCACTCATTGTGCAACCTCAGAACATAATAACTATGAATAAAATTTCAAGAACATATAGTTTTCAACAATGAAGCAGCAAGGCAGCCAGTGATAGAATCACGAGATAATACCTGAAGCTATCCCATGTTCACTTCTAAATTCTTCTCCATTTCCTTGAATCTCTCCAGATGCTCCCTTCTCCTGGAAATAAAATCTCTAGCGCATTAGTACTATTAGACCTCTGACATTACTTCACTTTCATTTCCTACACAAACATTAGAAGATATCAAGTCCTTCAATGCTGATGAATATAGTCTCTTCCAAATAAAAAGTTGTGAATTTATTGAAAGGCCAGACCAAACACTCTGCAAAAATGGAATCACCTTCAACTCTATCATGTCTTCCAGCGTGGGGTGTCCTACAAATGTGGCAGCTATTCCGTTCAACTTACAAATTTCAGCCTCAAATGGGAGGATACATAATACATGATCTATAAACTCAGAAAGCCCTTTAATCCTTGCCTCACCCCCTTTCCAGGCCCAGAAAGATGGTGATACATAATGGAAGTGTTTAGGGCTAACGATTCCCTGCTCGATACATTTAGCTGCAAAAAATATGTTACCGTACTCCTACAATATTTTTCACTATGCAGAAGGAAAACAGGAGCTGTATCATCCTGAAAAGAAATTACACCAAAATTACCTCGCAAATACTTCAGGAAACGGAAAGAGAATCCCTTTGAGTCCACCGTTAGTACGACATGAGGCTGGAATGAAAGAGCAGCCTGAACTGTTTGTTTCAGTTGAACCTGTTATTTCGAATTATGCATGTCAAAGGACCACAACTCACACTATTATAAAATACAATAAAAAAAAATAGGAAAAACAGACTGCTCACCACGTACTCTGAAATTATTAAGGTGTGGCAACAACTCCCAAATACCCATCACTGAAATATCTTCCATAGGAAAGAGAGAATTTAAGCCTTGCTTAGACATCAAGTAGCTGAAATGACATCAAAGATGGAAAAGATCAAAAACACATAGAAAACAGACAGAGAAGATTAATAACCATACATGACCAAAAAGCAAATCATCAAGTGTTACACTACCAAGTAAATCATAACATATCAACAAGAATTAGAGAAATGGAAACTAAAATAACTAAAGCTAAAATATTTAATTAATGCAGAATAAGTACCTGCCTCTCCATCTTAAGCTATCAATTGCATTGGTAGAGTGCAGGGCATGGGCCTTAATATCAAGAAAATACTATGTCTGAAACCAGAAACTTGTGTGTATTTGTGCATTGAACTTGTAAACATAATTTCATTATCCAGTCTAGAATAAGGACTTTTCAAACAAAATTAACAGCTTACCCTCCAACACCAGCAAATCGAACAGGAAAAGGACTCAGCTTTCTAAGAGAATCCATGAAGCGTGACCCTATGATGTCACCAGAAACCTCACCAGCAACGATGAACACTCTGAGCTCCCCATCTTTGGAAGCCAAGTCTCTGACAGGGTGGCTTGAAATTGAGAATGATCTTCTCAACAGATAATTTAACTCCACATCTTTTCTAGAAAACAAATTCCAGAAAACTCCCCTTTGTAACTTGTTCATGTTTCACATTCCCTGAGCATCATAGACACAAGAATAGAAGCTGCTTTTAGCTAGCTTTTCACTACCAGAACAAACATTTACTATCTAATTATTATGGCAAATCCTTCTATTCCATATAAAGGGAAGGCCCAACTTCGTTGATTTGATCACACCTCCCAAATGGAAGTTTGGCATCCTACAATTGGCATTCAAAACAATTAAGTCCAAGTGACGTGTAGCAGCTATTTTTAAGGAAGGTGAAATTCCAAATTTCACGTAGAGACTGTGGAGGATCAACTTTGGATACACTTTCCGATTTGTATGTTTCATGATCACATTAGATGCAGGATAAGATTACAATTCTAAGTGGCACAAGTACATGTTAGAGCAAAGGTTCCCCTAGTCAACAGCTCAAAAATATAAAAATAGCAACTGACTCAGGATCAATAGATGCTATCTGAAAAAAAAAAAAAAACAAAAAGAAAACCCAAAAAAAATAACAATAAAACAGAGGGAAGGCCAACATCACAGAATGCATGAAAAAGATGATGGTAATGTCTGTAAATTCATGGTATAAAATGAAGTAAAAACTAAGAACAACTTCTTTGACCACACTAATAGTTTTATACCTGGAGGACTAGTCTGTTCTGGACTTTTATGAAAAATCAACATGATAGAATACCACCAATCAAGTTCGTTAAGATCTCAAAAGCACCTTTCTCATTTATACCTTGCCAAAAAAAAAAGTCTTTAAGTGATGTTGTTAATCAAAATACTAATGTCAACAAGATGAAGTAAAAATGATATCTACCTCCTCCAATTGGACATTATGCACCCCATAATGTCAAAGCAAACAAAGTTAAGTTAGTTTTTACTTTCTTCCAACCTCTTCAACAGAACTGCATGGGCATCAGATTAAAATGAAGTAGTCACACATAAACACTGGTAAATCTATATCAGCATCAAAACCAAAACTAGAGCGGCATCCAAAGCATACAGAAGCTTGAAGAATGTCTGTTCTACATGAATATTCTTAAACATGCAAGTTAATCTGTTACCAGAACAGACACATGACAGGAGAAAAATAAATGAATAGGAGTAATATAGTTAGAAAAGCATGAAGGAACAACAACTAGGATTAACATATAGTTTTTTCACTGAATCTTCCTATATCATCATTGTTTTCTGCTGTAGTTTCAAGCCATTGGTAGCTCCAAGAACATTCCAAGAACTGAACTGTTTCTATGTAGACCATATTTATAACCAGCTATCTACCAGTTACTGATGCTAACAAGCAGCCAAATATACATTTTAATTCATTCTTGATTTAGACAAACCAGAACCAGCACTATGTAAATAAATTATTATGTGACATCCCACAAAAGAAGCTACTTTAATAACACCTACAAAATCTAAAGGCAGTAACAAAGCAAACTAAATCCCATGTTCTCCGATGAGTGCAGATATCTGCTAAAAATAAAAGAGATTTCCAGAACCTTAAATTTCTCCCTTTTGAAAATCAGACCATAAAGTTATAATACTGCAACTCCTTCCCCCCTCCCCTCTCTTCCCCTCCTCTTGCTTTCTTTTTCCATGATTTCGCTTCCCCTCCTCTCTTCCATGATTTCAGCATCACCTCCGAAACCGACTTCATAAAACACGAATCCTAGCAATTCTTACACCTAAACTCACAAATATCGACAACCAAGTAGTTGCATTATAGCAGCTCTCAGTAAACTTTAAAAGCGGACATATCAACTCAAATGTTTCACAGGATCATAGCTTAAACCAAAATAGTACCATATCGTATTTCCCTATTCAATCTAAATGAATTCAGTATTCAAGAAAGTGTTTGAAAGTGCAAATAAATCGTTTGAAAGTTCTTTTCTTTTTCACTTCTTTTTTAAATTTATCAAAGCTATCATATATTATCTCACTCACAACCAAAATCGCAAGAATTAGCACACCAATAGTTATATAAAAAACTTAACCAATGTTATTATCTCCGAACATCTAACTTTCTTGTAAAAGTAGAAAATTATGCCGTAGTTCACACATTTTTCAGCTTTGGAGTTTGAATTGTACAATCAATAACACTGCAAATCACCTCAATCAAAGTATCTAAATATGCCAGCAAATATACTTCTAATGATAAAGCCTTGGAAAATCTTATTGAATGAACCAAAAATGTAAAGAAAGATAATAGTAATAACCAATTGCAGAATATGAAAAAGTGGTTCAACTAACCTGCTGGAGGGAAAGAGGGAGATTGTAAAACCGGGGCATAGGGTTCTCTGCGTTGAAGAAAAAAGGCGGTGCTTATCCGGATCCGGACAACAATACCATATAAAGATCCGACCCAACAATGCTATACGGTTCTTTAAAATAAGATATCGATTGTGAAACGGTAAGAGAATTTTTTTGTGCGTTCACAAAATTCCATTGTAAACTTGTTTTTTATATCTCAGAATGAACTAATAAATCTAACATGTGGTTTGGAATTTTAGAGTTCTTCCTGATGTCAAAGTTTAGAATTTGAATTGTGTACCTAATAATCGAGAATGAAATTTTAGGAGCATTTTTTGTGCGTTCACAAAATTCCATTGTAAACTTGTTTTTTATATCTCAGAATGAACTAATAAATCTAACATGTCGTTAGGATTTTTACAATTTTTTTTATTATCAATTTCAAAGTTTGAATCGTGTGTGAAAGGGGTGGGAAGTAAAAAAAAAAAAAAAAACCAGAAATTTGCTGCAAATTTCTTCTTTATTTAAAAACAAAATTTCAAGGCAAATTCTAGTGCTACTAAATTTACTAGCTTTGCTTACAGTTCTGGATTAATTTACTGACTGTATAATTTTAATCAAATATCAACTATCCTTTGACAAATTAGAGAATTTTTTTCATCTTTCTCTATAATTTTTATTTTTTTTTTTTTTGGTCCTCATCTTTCTCTCTCTAATTTTGGTTTGTGCAAAGTCTGGTCAACATAAGGCCCGTTATAATTAATTAGTCCATTTATCAACTCCCTTGGTCCAAGTCCAATTTATTTGAAGCCCAACCCAACTTCTCATCCCCTCGCATATTCAAATGCAGAGGAGGGAAGAACTCATTTTCGAAATTTCTCACACACAACACACACAAGTAACCCACTCTCACACTCCCACAACCACTCGCCTTCCAGGCGCAGGCGAAAGTTCTCCGGCACGGCTAATAAATACACAGCCGGACAGATTTTAGTGCATGCAGTTTTGAAATCCCCAGGAATTAGACAAATTTGGTTTGTTCATATTGAGGTATTGAAGAAAATTGACAGTTGAAATGGCTGAAGCCCTAAGCCCGAACCCGAAGCAAAGAGGCCCGTTTTCGCCGTCGAGCCCTTTCTTCTTGGGCTCTAATGATGACAAACTCGAAAGAGCTCAAGCACGCGCTGCCCGTGCTGCAGCCATCCGACGCAAGCCTGCTGCCGCCGGTCCTCCCGCTGTAGCCACTGCAAATGAGTCCTTCCTCGATAAGCAGCAGATTCTAGAATTGTTCCACAATTGCATCAAACTTGCCAGTGAAAATGTCTGTTTTTTCTTTCTCTGAAATTATGTATGATGAATTCTTTTTGCGTGTATATTAGTTGTTGGAATTTTGGGTATTTATTAGAATGAGTAAAAGTTTGCATTTTTAAACTATTTTTGGTGCAGAAAATTAATCAAAAGAATACGTGGGAGCTGAATTTGATAGATCATCTATGCGAGATTATTAAAGTTGAAGAAGAAAATGATGCCGAGACCAATTTTCAGAAGGTATTTATTGTTAAAAGTTCAGTTCATTTTGCTACGAATAGGAGATTATACGCATAAATACAAGTTTTATTCTTTGCAAGGCATAATAATAATTGCTGGGCAGTTTTTAACCAAACAAAGAGAAGAATTTTTCTTTTTTGCGATGGTTTTTTGTTGGTTTGTTAACTTAATTTTTGAAAAAATTGATGCTTATGTTCTTTCCTCTTTTGTAGTTTTTGGTGTAATTTTCAAAGTACATGTATTTTCTTTTGGAAGAGGGGAAAGAACTAGGAAGCAGCTACCCTTTTGTCTATCTTATGTATTTGCTGTGAATCCTGATGACTAAGCTGTGTGATAGCATCAAGTAGTAGGATTTGCTGAAAGCGCTGTAATAATAATGTGGGATTGAGTATGTATATATCATTTGCTTGTCAATTGCTTATGTTGAGTTGTGAGGCATCAGAAGACTTGGTTTATGGCTTGTTAATATGAATTTTCTTGTGGAGGCAATCAGGTATAGAAAAAAATAATTTACGGAATCACTGCTTGAATTGAGTACAGAATTTATCACCCTGAACTGGGATTTTATATTTAATCACTCATGGTAGACTTAGAAATGGATACAGAGAGTTAGTAATTTCCTTTAGCTTTACTGGCTGCTTACAAATGGATGTTGCTGCAAATATTGTTTGATGAATGGACGAATGATTGTGTCTTCAAAAATTTGAAAAGCAAAAGCTGAGATGAAGAAGATGTTAGAGGATGCTTCTGTGTGAGTAGCTTTTTTCAGGTTAAAATCATCTAAGAGCATAGAACTGAAGCAACATGTCAAAGAAAACTTTAGCTTAAATAAAACTAAGATCCTTAGAGAGATTTTAGATTATGAATGACTCTAGTTCTAGTATTATTTGGGTCTGTTGGTGTCTGTGGATGAGAGTAATTTGCTGTTTCTTTATATCATTTTATTGGAATAATAAACACTTGATGCTTAGTTTGCACTTTTTGTGTTGCTCTCACTCTTTTCTCTGATAAACAGCTCTTCAAAATGATGCTTTTCCACAAAAATGGGAATGAAACTAAAGCTAAAATGTGCATTTTTGCTGTTAAATGAAAAATAAAAAGCATAAACTTTGATCATGAGGCCAAAATTTAGCATATAAGGTCCTTGATTTTGCATTAGAAGCCAGTACTATTAACACTAAAAGCATGAGCACATCTAGTTTTTTATTTTTTTCTCGTATTCTAGGCAAGTTGTACCCTTGAAGCTGGAGTAAAGATTTACTCAATGAGGGTGGATTCTGTGCATTCAGAGGCATATAAGGTACTTGGAGGGATTAATCGAGTTGGTCAAGAAAATGAGAAAGGTAAGACATTTACTCCCTTTTAGAGCAAGAAGGAGTTTACTTTCTCTGTGCATACTCTTTCAGAAGAGAAATACATCCTTTGCCCACGTGCCTTCTAGTTGCAATGGTTCTCTAACTTTTTGTCATATAGGAAGACCAACCATAATAAACTTAAAAGATTAAAATAGTATATGATACAAAATGGTATGAGGTTGATGGTTATAAAAGTGAAGCAAGAAATAAAATACACATTAGTACTTTTGTAAATCAATGGGTCAACTGTCAGTTCTTCATTTAATGCCATGAATTTGGCTCAATATAAAAGGATTCCTTGAAAAAGGCCAAATAGTTGCCATTTTGTCTTTATTCTTTTAATCCAGAATTATTCAATCAAAAGAAAGCTTCCAAAATTTCATATAATCTGATTTTTCTCTCTTTAATAAGCAAAAGTTACTATTCTGTCCTTCTCATTATCTTAATCAGCTTGTGTTTACAAGTTGAATCTTGTTTGTGGTTTACAATGGGACTTACTCATCTACAAATTGAAAGTCGAAACAGGATTCAGCAACTAAGTGAAAATTGTGGTGGAAAGGCTATCTTGAGCTGTATCTTGTCATCATGTCAAGTGGTTGCTATGTGGAACTAATTTTGCTAGCTATGCTGTCAGCCTTTGCTTTGTTCCTATCTAATTAATCATGGGATGTCCTTTGTCTATTAGCAAATTTAGCTCTCATGGTCTTCTAGTTGTGGTATTCAAATGAGCAGAGATCAAGGCCTCCTGGGGCTATTATCTCAAAAGCGAAGCACATGCTTAATTGAAGTAAAGCTCACACTAATATAGATTGGATATACAACGATAACATAAGTAATTATCTTAGATAACAAATAATAAATCGTGAGTCATACATGTTAATGTCGATTGTACATTTGATTTTAATTCAATTTTTTATTTATGTTTAGCTGCCTTTCATTTTGGAAACCCTGGATATTTCAATATTTTGGAAAATTCAGCAAAGAACTCCTCTACTTTAGCATAATTCAGCAAATACCACTTACAAAGAAGATTGGAATAATATGATAGGAAAGGAGGTTTAGCGGAAGTGGGGGTAGTGCATTGGGCTGAAGAGGGGAAGGATTTAAGATACTATGAGAAGCATCGTGAGTAGTTTGTCTTGACCAAATTGTGTGCAGTTATCCCATGCTTCTAACTCAACAAACTGACCATGCAACTAACCAATCATCAGACATGGCAAAGATTAAAACAGGTTAAATGTATAAATAGTTGGTAAAGTAGGAAAAAGACCAAACATCTACAAAGCATGCTTATACTAAGCTTAGTCATTCTGGTCCTCAATTTAATGACCTTTGTAGTTTAGCTTATAACATCAACTTGTGGCATGAGCTGGTTTATTTATCTCATCTATTAGTTCCTCAGAGTTTGGTTTTCTATGGCAGACAACACTTTGGAAGATGTCATTGACAGTAGTCATGAGGAAGGTCATTCAAAGAAAGACCGAGAGAGAAAGGTTAATATCTTCCTCTAGTATAAGTGTTTTACTACAAAGTCATGAATACTAGCATCTGAATTTGCAAAGTGAATAACTGCAGCTGTCACCTTTGTCAACGCTTGAGTCATCATTTGAGGCACTAAATGTTAAAAAGTTTGATGGTGAGTCTGGATCCTTCTTAATATTCTGTGGATAATAGTACTGCATAAACATGATGAAATGTGCTTGTTCTTTAGTGGCCTTTGCTGTGGATCCTCTGTATCATCAGACATCAGCACAATTTGACGAAGGTGGAGCAAAGGGTCTTCTATTGAACAATCTTGGAGTATATGGTAACTGCCAGGTCCTTTTTGATTCACTTGAGTTACCTGGAAAGTGCACATTGCCTGCAATTGAACGTGGCAGATCTGAAACAATTGACATAACTTTCATGAGAGGTGCATTCTTTTTGCAATCTATCCTGATTCTGAGT